GGGGTCCCCCCCCCCCCTCTTCGGGGGGGTTAGATCAATCCCCCCCCCCCCAATTATCTGGTACTTCAAGATTTTAACTGGTGCTGCCGATTCATACATGCAAGCCTTGTTTCGTAGCTGAAGAGGAGAATTGCTTACTCACAGTCCTGGGTTGCAAAGCGACGTGGTGTGAAGGGAGAGGAAATGCTGGCCAGTATTTTCATTTTCGAGCACCAAAAGCAGATAATTCCCACCAAAATAAGTCATTGAAGCCAGGGGTTCCAAATAACTTTTTACAAAAGTTTGTCCGGGGGAAATTATACATGAAAGGAAGAATGAGGCCCTGGCAGGTCTTCTTCCCCCATGCATGCCCCCCACCCGCCCATAGGGCATTGGTCTGTCCTTGGGCCAGATGGCATTGCTCCTGTGCTTACACTTCTGTTCCCTCAGAAGTAATGGCACCTCCTGAACAGCCGTGGAAATGGAAGGGAAGCTGTGGTGGTGGTGGAACGGCAGCTTTTTCTACTAATAAATATCCCCGGAGCTATATTGCTGCAGCATTTCTGATTTTTCTCATCCAAAAGATTTGTTTGATGCGCTTTTTCCCCCCCTAACTGAAACAATTAATTATTAACAGATGAGAGAAATCATTGACAGCTTATTGGCAGTGCCAACAGAGTCACAGAAGGGCTGGGGCCGTGGGGATCATCTAGTGCCCAGTGCAGAAATCTACGACGACACCATCTCAGACAGACGGTCATCCGTATTGTTGTGAGCCACTCAGAGTTGGGTGGCATACAAGTTTAAATCATCATCATCATCATCTATTTAACACCATCAAACAACATCTGCCTATCCAGGTCCTTGGGAAGGACTTGATAAGTGGATAAAAATACCAGATCCGGTCTAAACATCTGGCTGATTGTGCGACCAACCACAATTCTCCATGGAAACACCTCCAGCAAAGGGAGTCCACCCCTCCTGAGGCATCTATTCCATCCCTGAACAGCTTTTACCATTAGGATTTTTTTTTTCTGACATCACAGCAAAATCATCTTTGTCGTCGTTCCTTGTCCTGTCCCCCGGAACAACCCCAAACAATTCTGCCCCATCTTCTCCTTGACAGCCCTTCAAACACTTGAAAACGGTTGTCGTATCTCCTGGCGGTCTTCCCTGCACACCTCCTTTGGTTCCTCTTTTCTCCTTTTAATTTTGATTGCTCTCCTTTGGACATGCTTGACTTTGTCTTTGCTAAAATGTGCCCAGAACTGGACATGACCCTCTATTTTAGGAACGATCCGATACGTTTTCATGATGCCCCTCTAATTACTTTTCATAGGAGTAGCTTTTTTGTATTTATTCAAGAATATTTTGGCGCAATCATCTATCTCTCCTATCTACTTTGCCAAAGCGGGGGGGAGGAGGAGAGAGAAATTCATCCTTCCTCCCAATTTGTAAGGACTTCTTCTGCAAAAACAACATTTAAATGGAAAAAAAAGTCTACAATTTAACATGAGGGACCCTTATGCAAGCAAACATCAGCTAATTTTGGCCAATAAATACAGAGGCACTGAAAAGAAAAAAAAGACCCTCCCTTTTATTTAAAGGAGCGAAGGTGTCCTCACCCTAATCAACGGAAGGCACAAATCCTGCCTCCATCTGGGCCCCAAGTTTACATGCGCAACCTTTGATTCAATCCAAGTAAAGGTCTGCTATTTTCCAAAGCACCAAACCTAATTTTGTGGTTAGTGCTTACCTTTTGATGAGCATTAGGTTTAATTTTACAAATTAAAAAAAAATGCTTGCCAACATACTTTGTAAGGAAGACAGTGGTTGAAATAAGAAAAGGTATATTTTCTACCATAAAAAACCCATAGAGTGAGTGAGTTTTGGCTTGGTCAGTCATCATGACCCAAGGCCTGTAAATATGACTTGCTGCTCAACCATTGGCGCTTAGTCTCTGTACCTTCTAATGTGCTGAATGCATCATCACCGCTACTTAATAATCTTCCATACTCCATTCTTATGTAATTTAGAGGGTTGAGATATGGGCCAGCTTTTTGGATATGACCATGATTCCAGTTAAACTTTTGGCTCACACCAGAAAGTTGCGTATGAAATCCCCCTCTGCTTCACAATGCAAATACACATCCCTAGTCATAAGCTAATTTCTTCACATTCTTGCAAAATTAAGCTTGGGCAGTCCAGTTTTGGTTGCAGGACGTGCCCAAGACTCAGCAAGGTTACAGACCGTGAGCCTAAATTAAGGACACTTTTCCACCAGACGTACTTCTCCTTTGAATCTGATTGTCCTCTGAACCAGCCTTCCCAATTGGCACTCTCTGAATAGGCTGAGCCTGCCACCCCAAAATCCTAGCCAACATGATTCAAGACTAAAGATTCTTTGTGTTATTTAGCTGGTTCCACTCTTTCTTCAAACAAGATGCCTCTCAGTGGCCACCTTTTCACATTTCAGAGCCATCTCCTGACAGTAGGTGGCATTTATAAAGAGTCTGGATTGAACTGGGCACTGTATCTGGTCTCTTGGTCTCAAGGTAATTTTTCAACCTACAATAGTCTTACTAAGAATTAGCCATCATTTCTTAGCCTTCTGTTTTTTTAACATATTTCCTTTATTTGTACTAAAGAAAGTCTAAAACTTTCACACTTCTCCTTACGAACTAATGCACTTATATTACATCTGAATACTTGTCCCAAATGCTTGGCTTTTGTTATTCTTTTATGCCATTTTTAAATCTGATTCTTTCCATTGAAAATAACTCCTTTTCAAGCAATGCGTAAAAAGCCTCTTCCTTGATCCCTGTGAAGTGCGCCCTGGCTTTCTCCTGCTCCTCGTCTGTGCTCTTTGCCCATAACTCACACAGGGAAGGTGGGCACCCACACCAGCTGCAATGGCTTACAAGGTGTACGGCAGGAGAGGCTGCAAACGACCAGCAGCATTTCATGGCTGATCCAGTAATTATCCTTTCCACAGGCTTCAAACTGCCACTGGATCTCACATTTGAAGCTGGTGTTCTTCTCCAACCTCTACTCATACTGGGGGTTCAGGAGGCCAAGCAAGCAACAGGCACTTTGAATGAAAAGGAACATTTTCCAAAACTTAGAACGAAAACACCTCTGCTAAAGGCACGCCACCTTCACCCAATGGCAACGCTCTTGAGCAAAGTGGGCAGCAGCTGTCAGTCTGTTCACCAGGCAGGCACCTTTAAACTTTACCAGATTTCAAACTACGTCATGTTGCCCTGTTAAGTTGGGGCAGCTGGGACGAGGAGGGCAAAAGGGAGGGACGGAAAAATTGAGATTATTTTTCCTGGTGAACAAGGGGCAAACCTCAACAGCAACAAAGAGACCAGTTTTATGTATAAGGGGGCAACTCGGGGGCCCTTGCCAGACTCAACGTGCCAAAGGAAGAAAGATTCCGTGTGCAAAACCAGACCTCCAAAATGGCTCAACATAATTTATTTTTTTTTTATGTTAAAATGTACAGAGTTCTTTTGAAAGTACTTGCTAGAAAGGGGGGAGGGAAAAAGTGATATTACATACAAGGAGAGGAAGAGAGGCCGGCCGGCCCAGGAGCTCATGACATGGAGAATTACAAAGGGTTATCACCCAGGCACCCCTTCCCCTTTTGAAGCTTACAAGTCACCAAGAACAAAGTACAAAGAGGTTACAAAACAGGAAAAGCAAATATAAACAGACAGGAATAGACGCGGCTTCATTTTGTACATGCGGCTTTAGAGGCATCTGGAGCTCTAGTCACACATTCTAGAGATCTCTTTAAAGAGAATTTTCATCTTTCTTAAAATAGTCTTTAATATTCTACAACAAAGATAAAAAATTTTAAAGATGGAATGAAATGAAAAAGCTCTTTTTTTTTTTTAAAAGGCATCAAAGTCACTAACAGTGAGTTTTTTTTTTAAAATTTCTTTTAGAAGATTACCCAAGTTTATTTTGCTAAAAATACATTATTATTTTCTTTTCTTAAACAGAAGTGGAAAAAAAAATGACAGGTACCAATATTACTGTGTTGGATACTTTTTTTTTTTTTTTTTTTTTAATATAGAAAAGAACATCGGTTCTCTACAATAGCTCTACAGTCACAAAGGTTTGTGGAAAAAAGGGAGCTGCCCAATTGATTAAAAAAAGAAGAAAAGAAAAATCCAAAACTGGGGGGGAAAAAAAGGTAACAGCAGACGGGAAAAAAAAAATATATATATATAATAATTTTACGGCCCTCGTGCCAACAGCTTTGCTTTCGACACCCCAACCAACCAGCCCCCTACCCATCTGCAGCTAGCAAGCAATGCCAACGCGGAGGATCTGGGACGAAGGGGACGGGCTGGGTCACCTTTCAACACAGATGAAGTGAGCCTGGATCGGTGGATATTTACAGGGTCCTGGGTCCTACACAGCCTTGTACACATGCTCAAGAATTCAGAGAAAACGAGGGCTGGAAGCCCAAAGGATTCTGCCTTTCTATACTCAAGGGTACAGAGGAAGTCCGTTCGAGTGCAGCTGAAGCTCTGGCCCTTCCAAACTGCCTTTCAGGTTTCTTTGAAAGAAAAAAAAAATCTTTACACATCTAAGTCCATCTAAGTGCGTCTGTAGCTCTACAGGAATATACAGAGAAAACTTTACATTAGAAGGATAAGCTACATTTTCTCCTCCTCGTAATCGGCGGATGGCGTGCCCGCAGGCCTTGCGTCCTTCATGGTTCAGTACGATGGACTGCAATGTGGGGATCCTCCCGCGCCCCCCCCCCAAAATGCTCACACACAAGGCAATGTGGAAAAACCCCAGCTAGTGAATCTCCAAAGATGCTAGGGAGGCGAAGGGGGTGGGAAGGCGGGGGGTGCCGGGAGGACGAAGTCCTACCTCTGGCACTTTCTCCCCACATGCTAGAACCAGGCCAGCAAAAATTTAAAAATATATACGTGAAGCGACTGCGACAGCCATTTAAATGTACATCCCAACTTCCAGGGGTGGGACGGCCTTGCACAAGTGCCTCTAGGAACTTAATCCTCCAGCAGATTCACCATGCAAAGTCCAGCCGCTGGGTTTTGGGTTGACCTCCAGGCCTCGAGAACTCCGTTTCTCCTACCCCACGTTTTGGCTGTACTCGGCTGGACTAGACTACATGGTTCCTGCTTGGATATATGCAATGGGTGCACTTCAGTTACATTTAAACCGTATTTCATTTCACCCAAGGAGAGAGAGAGAAAGAGAAAGAGAAAGAGAAAGAGAAAGAGAAAGAGGAGAGAGAGAAGAAAATATAAACTATTCAGAGTTCCTATATCTGGGGGAAAGGGCAAAAGAGGCTCCGAAAGTTTGCTTTGGGCTCCGTGCACCACTCCCAGTTCCTGCAACAGAGCTGCCTGTTGAGGGCACAGAAAGATGGGAAGGGTCTGACCTTTTGAGGTTGGGCCACCTTCAGAGCTGTGCACAAGGGACAAGGGGAGAAAGAGACCAGCGTCTAAAAACGAGAGGCCTGTTTTACGCGGACTCTGCCCGGGTGGTCGTTGGCAAAGTAAGGCTCTTTGTTCGATGACGGGAATAACGGTGTGCACGTTTTCAATCCCCCTCCCGCCCCCCGACAAAAAAGAAAGAGAAAAAGAATCCCAAAGCCCAGTTCCCAAAATGGGTCTGAACGGTGAAGCGTTTCCAGATTGTGGAAGGGAAAACCAAGATGCCAAACAAGAGAACCAACCCCGCCCCCCGCCCCACAAAGAAGAAAAGAATAAAAGACCAGGCCCCCTAAAAAAATAAAATAAAATAATAAAATAAACCAAAAGGGAACAAAACCCTATCTAAGATCTACAGCAATATTTAACTGGAAAAAGGTCCATTGTCTCTGCTTTGTCAGTATAAAAGGTTCCTTGATGGAGCGAGAAGTTTCGGGGGCGTCTTGCTCATCTCCTCATGTAGGGTCCGTTGAGAGACTGCTTGGGGACCCCGGCGGCGTTCATGTAGCTGTGATGGGGAGGGCCAGCGTACATCATGTTCCCGTGGGGGTTGGGCTGCATGGGCTGCTGGGGATAGGCCTGGCTCCCCACCATTCCCATCTGCATCTGCATAGGATACTGGGCGGTCTGGTTCATGTAGGCGGGGTTGCTATGGTAACTGCTGTTCATCATGGGCTGGGGCATCCGGTAGCTGTTCATCGCGTTCAGGGTATTCATATTCATGGAGTTGACATTGTAAGGGGCCGTGGGCATCAGATTCACCCCCATATTCATGCCACGCTGAACAGCCAATGCCCGGGGACTGGCCTGCATGGCCACGGCGGGAGGGCTGCGGCCATAGAGCTGCTGCTGGTGGGCAGCCGCGGAGGGCAGGGGGGCCGACTTCGACCGGATGGAAATGTGCCCCTTGACCGGCATCTGGCCCTGCAGCCGCTGGGTGTGGGGAATGCCGATATTGGTGGTGGACATGTTACACTGGAGGAGGGGCGAAGTAAGGTTCATGGTGGTGGAGGCCAGGTTTGGCGGGGGGGTCATGGTGGCTTGTGCTTGGGCCGCCCCGGCTAGGGGGTGCGATGGGGCCAACTGAGCTAGGCCCGTGTTCGACAAAGACACGCTGGTTGCATAGGAAGTCACAGCAGAAGAATGGCTGTAAGGCATGGCGTGGGGGTCCATAATCGTGTTGGTCAGCTGCTGCAACTTGGCTAGGCTGAAAGTGGCCGAGGGCTGGGAGTATCCGCCGGCCCCAAAGTCGCCGGGGAGCCTCTCGTAGATGCTTATAGATCGGAA